ATTAAAAAGTATGTATACTAAAAAGAAAGAAAATTCGGATTGCCAACACACAAACAGAATGTCTCATATCGAGAATATTCCACATTGAACATGAAGAAAAATTAATTATTTTTAATAATATGTAAAAATCTCCACTTTCACCTGAAGACGGTTAATGAGACCAGACCAGAAACACGTGTCGTGAAATTATGTAAAACAAAGTATAATATTTTTTCTCAATAAATCCACATTACAACCAAAAACGTTTGCGGCACCCCTCTTCTTTTTAATATATATATATATATATATATATATATATATATATATATATATATATATTGTCTATTTAGACAGCAACGATGTGAAAATGGTACTACGGTTAAGCATTTTAATTAATTTTTCTTGTGTTCGCACAAGACCTTTCATTTTTGGACACAGATTGTCTAGAAACTGTCGAATGTAATAAAAAAGCTTCCTAAGAAGAGCACATCAGAATTCATCTCCTCGACTACTCTTCCTTAAAGGACTCAATAATGTAAGACACACACTAATTAACAATGGCTTCCCTAACTACCTTATAGACCTCCAAATTTGATTATTTCTCTCCAAATAAATAACAACGATAGTGAACATACAGTCAAAAATTACATAAATATTGTTTTTACAAAAACCAAATGCACATTAACTACAAACAAGACGAATCTTCACTTAGAAATATTATAAATACATATACTACCCCAATCGACCCGAATAAAAAATCAAATTAATTATCTACTATAAAAAATTTAAGATAGATAACCTTATCCTCAAAAACAACAACACAAGTCAACGAAAGAACATTATCTATTTTAGCAATTAGTTAAGTGTACACGAATTTATGATGGTAGGTTTTTTATATGGTGAAATAGTAAATTTGTTATTATTTGTGATTATCAATATGTCAAGGAAGAGAATTTTATTAGTAGTATTGAGTTCATGCATGAATTTAAGGATAGAATTATTTTGGAAACGTCTTTGAAGTTGAAGCATTTCATCTGTATTAACTACAAGAGCGAATGTCCATGTCTAAATCTAATATATCGTGCAGAAACTAATTCATCCACAAAACAGATTTTCTACAGTGAACTAAAGAATGTGACGTCCAGCTGCCTTGCTCGCTCCTCGCTGTTTCGTTCGGGTGTCGCCGCTCCAAACGTGACGTCCGCCTGTCTGCGTCAGTCGTGTTGTCCCGTCCTGTGACGACCAACTGGCTTGGTATCGGTCGCGGCACCCAAATGTGACGTTCTAACCTTTTGGTGATTCGGACGGGAATCTGGTCAGATTCGATATCAGCCTCGTCGTTCCCAACTCGCTTCCAACGTCTGGTTACCGAAGTAACTGCGTTGATCTCCAGTCCGCCTACCCACGTTGTGAATTGATCTTAGGCAGACGAAAGCAATCAGTCGTTGGGGCCGTAATGCAAGCTGAGTTCAAATAAGGGTGGTATCGCACAAATATGTATAAAAGAAAATAAAATAATAACTCAAAAGTTCAAGGTATCAAAAAAAGGATAACAATACTTTATATCTGGTTGCTGGATACATAGGACTGCGTCTATCTCCCGACCCGCTATATGGATTGTAAGACGTTGTTTTTGTTAGGTGAGTTTTAACATCTTAAGTTGTCTGTTCTTTAAGAAACTGGTTCTTGGTGTGTCTTCAGGCGATAGTCGTAAAGCTTGTTTTGGTGGTATGAATCTAAGTCGCTCTTCAAAAATGAATTGTTCTTGGATTGAAGATGAGTTCGGAAGTTGCGCGAATCTTACAAGTCAGCTCTGCGAGGCCCACTTCAACTGCGCACTGGTGACTGTGGAAAACTGGAACTCCAACTAAACTGGGAAACTGATTTTCGCTTGCTGCGACTTTGCTTATATGGACGCCGACCAAAACCGGGGTTGGCTTTGTTGGGGTTTGAGGTTCCTTGATAATTCCAAATCCACAATCCCCTTCTTTTGTTTTCGGTCAGGAAAAATTTATTATTTCCATTTTTGGAAGTCTTCTCTTACCCCTACCTTCAGAGGGCGTCAACGATTTTCCTACTTCTTCGCAGTAACATCTTATACCTATCCTCTTTAAGGAGTAGTAGCAGGACTCCCCCCTGCATCACATGATCACCTCCGCCTGGCTCTCGTTAACATTCATCCAATGGCCGATCAACAGTGTGGGCGTGACCAGACTAGCCTTGTTTCTTAAAAAAATATATCTTGCTCAAAGAAAAAAGAATTATCTCCTCTTTTTTCTTTTTTTTTTTTCTATTTCCTTTCTTTCTTTTCTTTTCTATTCTCTCTTCTTCTCTGGCCGCCAACAGAACAATGCGACCCGTAGTGTGATAACCTCAATTCCTATCCCAAGGTCACTTTCATCTGGACTTCGTCAATCATCAGGGTAGTTGGTCATCCAGCAAAACACCGCCAACTTTTCCGATAAAATAGTTTCGCTATTATCGCCAGATTCTAACACAACCCAGACCTTGTCCAACGATATCTTTCCCTCGACAAAGACTTAACCTTTGTTTTCTTTCTCTTTTTTTTATAGCTCGTGTGTGGTCAGGGCATTCCCGTGACACAGTTAAATGTTTATCTATTCTGTCCCGGAGTTTAGCTAGCCGATCTGGAATTTGTCAATTAGATTTTCGCCAGCACCAAGTGGCTGTTATCTATTCCCGATAATATAAGTCCGCCACCACGACACAGTTAATTTTTATCTATTTAGAATTTTCGACAATGGCAATGAAACCTTCTTTTCTTCCTTTTCTTTGCTTTCCTAAATGGTGTCACAAGAATATAAAATAAAAATTATTAATAATAGCTTTCCAAACTATATAATTGATGAACAAATAAGATGCTTTCTCAGAAGTTTCAATATTAAGCAAATAGAACATAATACTGCTTCAACTAATCCTAAAGATATTAATCTCCAATATCGTAATCAAATGCATACTAATTAAAACAATAAACAAAACTAAAAATCCTTGAAGCTATATACATAAAACATTTGAAACCTAACCTGAACAAAATAAACTATGAAAACTCCACAAATGTACGTAAATGCCTATAACTTATAACAGGCCAACGAAACTCCTTATAATACCAAAGATGAACCTAAGGCAAGAATTATGACAGCATTCATCAACATAAACAAGCAAACCCTGAAAAAGGTCTGCAGGAAATTGCGAAACCGTTCTGAGGCCGTGGTTGAATCCAATGTCGATTTTATTGAATAAATTGTCTCTTTAGTATTTCATGATATCTTTGTGTAATTTTGGTAAATATATCTGTTTAAAGGAGGTGTAAGTGTTACTCCCATTTTTGCATAATATTAAACGGCAATTTATTCATCCGCTCCAAAGTATGCAAAAGTATTTTGATACACCCTGTATGCATATCCGAGAAGTCTTAAAGGACGAAATGCGTCACGACTAAAATTTGTCATCACTTCCCAAAATATAGATATGTCTGTGTGTGTGTGTGTGAATATAAAGGTGGACATTGAACTCAACACCCAGTGGCGACAGTCTTTTTAATGCTAAACGCAATCCTCAGACCATGTACGTTGCGTTTTCGATTAGTGCGCTAAAATGTTTATATGCCAAAATTCCATTAGTGCATACATAATACACGATTATTCCGGTAAAACATTATTCAATTTAACCATCGTAATTGACGATTTATATTTTATAGTTACCGATGTACATATTAGCCGCACTAATCGAGGGATTCCTTAAAATGGTCAGTGAAGCATTTTGGGTAGTCTATTGTGTTGCATTGTGGGTAGTCTATTGTGTTGCATTGTGGGTAGTCTTTTGCGTTGCATTGTGGGTAGACTATTGTATTGCATTGTGGGTAGTCTATTGTAATATTCTAACGGTTGTTTTGGTGGGCGGTAAATGTTGCGTTTCGAATTATTCTAGGGGCTATTGACTGTGAATAATTGTGGATTTTAATGCAGATTTTTTGTTTATAGTGTTGTTAGTTAACATTTTTATTATATATATATATATATATATATATATATATATATATATATATATATATATAGTATGACCATCACTGACATGCCCGGCCCTTCACTCAAAATCCCCCACAACACTGCATTCATTGGTTGTGTGAACGACAGTGGCTCATAAATCCGGCCATATATATCCTGAAAATGTAACTAATATCGGGGTTAGTTAATAACACTCTTATTGTGAAAACACTGACCTGCATAATAAAGTTTGAAGTAGTGTATATTAAATTAATATTCTTTATTATTTATTTCTGTTTTCTTTCGTGAATATGAATTTTCTAACTTTATTTTGTGTCAATCCCATTTTGATTTTCAGTTACTTCATGTTTTATCTCCCTTTGTCTTATCTTCTGCTTCTAGGTTCATTTTCTTCGTCATTTCCCAAACTGTTTGCCTTGATTGACTTTGTATGTCACTTCACTTTTCGTGTTCTTCCTCTGTCTTTATTTTGAATGACTTCCCAATTCAAAATTGTCTTCCATCACATCATTCGATATATCCTCATTCATATGTTTTTTCTCCTATTCACATTTTCCTTCATCCATTTTTTTCGAACCGTTAAGTAAAAATACTCCAACTTGTTTTCTATTTCTTCAGTGACAGTTCTTTTCTTGTTTTACCGTCTTACTTCTTCTTCTCTATAACTTCCTCTCATTCCAAATACTTCTCTATTCTTTTAATTAATGGCGTCAGTTTCATTGTATTTCTCCGTTATTTCATCTACTAATCTCTTCCTTCATCTTTTCACACAATATACATATGTAGATAATACAAAAATACTATAAATAACAATTGAAGAAGAGACTCAATATTGCAGAAGCCATTTTATACTAAAAAACAAAAACAAAAATAAAATATTTTTTGCCACAATAGACAGCATCTTGAAGTGTATATCAAACATTTGATATGCGCAAAAATTGATAAAAGTTTGGTTTATAAACATTTGATAAAATGCTTTTTCCGGTGCGATCTAGTAGAAACACCAGCTCTCGTACGATTACCGAAGTTAAGCAACGTCGAGCTTGCTTAGTATGTAGATGAGTGACCGCTTGAGAATAGCAACGGCTGTAAGCTTTAATGTGCACGTGGTGTGATGAATAACCGCTCGCAATTTGAAAATGGAGAGCTGAATCCCAATTCCAATCAAGATCGTGGTATTCAATTTTTTGCAATATAGCAGGTTCGAGGGCCACTCGAGGTAGAAGACACACGGTTTATGCGGATATATGTGGAAGAAAACAGTTAGACTTGAACAGATTACAATTGTAGCGATCGAAAAAACATCCCCATGGTTCCACAGAGCAGTGAGTCCCGGCAAGAAGCCGTTCGGGTGGAACTTACTTATCCCCATTCGAATACGGAAGGAATGAGGGTGGATCGTTACAGTGTGCGTGGCACGGCGTGCCCTAGCCGTGAGGCTAAGGAATGGCGGAACTAAGGAATGTAGTTTGTTTGAGCACTTTCGATGGAAGTAGCGATAGAGGCTTGCGCGGTTTCGTCTGTGATAGAAGAGTATTGAATGGACAGTTAAGACTAGGCAGCTCCTTTTCAAATATGACCACATTACACCGTTTTAGCTTTGATCTGGCTCTTGTAAAGGAAGGGTATAGTACGAGGAGATAGCTACTTACTGGAGCGGTACAGGGAACCGACCATATTTTCCCGCACTTCTAACGGTGACCGTCCTGGGTAAGACGTTAAACTACATCCGCATCCTGGGTAAGACGTTATACTCCCTCCGCCTCTTGGGTAAGACGTTAATCTACGTCCATCAGAACGGCCTCTGATCAGGAGGTTTTGAGGAGCGTGGAACCACCTCTTAATTACTGGTGTTCGCTGGTCCACCCTGGCCCAGGGTGGTAGCACCTGTTAGGGTCCCTGCTATGGGCAAATAGTTAACTATTACCAGCAATACTTTTTTGAAAAAAATTATTACCAGCAATAGAATTTGGAAGGAAATATATTACCAGAACAGATTTTTCACAAAACAAAATATTACCAGCAATAAAATTTTTGTCGGCATTAAATAACCCATTGAGGTTGATATGACGTAAAACAAATTTAGCCAAACCAATCTAACAATGAATCGTATGTACGTTGTTCCACTTGAGGTCTGGGTTGATTTTACGGCCAAATAGTCGCTCAGGACACAGGGGCTCCCTGAGGAGAACATCCATCCATCGTGACCTGTCTGACAGTCGATGATGGAATGTAAATACACTGGTTTTAGAAGTACAGAGAGCAAACTGAGAAGTTACAGTTAGATCGGAAAAGTGATCAGCTACAAATCTCTGGTCATCCAGAATTTTGGAGGTGCATAGATATTCTCAAATCATCGGCGTGTACTTTTAGGCGGATTATTTATGGTTTGGTCCGAGAAGTTATCCCTGGAGAACGCCTTCGTTGATTATAAGGATCTCAGAAGACTGGCCACTAACAACTACCTTCAGGGACTACTGTTAGGATGATCTTTCTTTATTGAGAAAACTCTTCTAGGGATTCCATAGCTAAAGGGCTTGAGCTCATATCCTTTGTGTCACACTTTGTCAAACATCTTTGTAATATCTAATGTTATGGTCCTTAAGCGCAAATACCTTTGGAGAAAGTATGAATTCACCTATTCTACCACAATCGATGGTTTAATTAGTATTACTGTTGTCAGTAAATCACTATTATCCTTAACTCCTATTTACTTGTTTTAATATAATGTAACAATACTATTTCTCATCGATCCATAGATCATTAGATAAATTGCTTTTAATTTTAAGTACATTTAATTATCTGGAATTCTGTCTCCAGCTTGACTTTGAAATGGCAAACATAAAAGGTTGTTCATAATTTTAGATAATCAAAAAGTAGAGTTGTTGAAGTTTTGTCTACACATATGACTTTCGGGTGGTTTCAAACCTTCCTGAATACAAATGGATGGATAGTGCAATGGGACCTCAGCCATATAGGCTGAAATATGTAGGAAGTCAGAAAAGTGGTCCAGCAGTCAGACAAGTAGGTAGGTGACCAGTAAGTGAGTAGTTGTCCAGCGGCCAGGGAGGAAAGACCAGTGGGGTATTTTAGCCGAAAGATAACATAGCCGGCTAAAAGAGAATTTGAATTGTTGCTACTTCCCAGAGAGTCTTTGTGAATTTGACTACGGCCAAGTGGATAAATCTGTGACATAGCGTGTCGGGTGTATACGCAGAATCGGCCGACTTTGGATATCATCATGTTGTGCAGTGACGGACGAGCTCAGAAATTGAAGCACCTCCACCGGACGTATGAGTTGAGGATGGACTCGCTGCATGCTCAGAATGGCATAAAAGTTATCAAGATCAACGTATAAACACGTTTTGAACATGCTTATTCCTCCGCGTCTGAAAAGACAATTTCAGTAAAAACGTATACACACATCTACAACAGGGAAGGGGTTAGAAATATACTTAAATTCCCAAAATATTATCTGGTTTTAAATAACCTTCGACAGGTTGATAAGCTTTGAAAAAAAGAAATCAAAACCAATCAGCCGGTGATTTAACCATGAACCATGGCGTCACGTTGGACATGTTCAAGTTCCAGCGCAGTCAAAAATGGCAATTTGTAACTATTTTTTTTTCAAACTACTTCTCTCCATTTTTCATTGACTTTATCCATTCGTTTTCTAAAATAAAAATGCGCAATTTTTCTCCCCTTTTTTGTATTCCTCCAGTGAACGTTTTTTCTTCCTTTTCTCTCTCTCTTAATACTTCCAATCATCTGGTTCTACATACTTTTCCTTTTGTTCTGGATGTAGGCTTAGTTTCACAGTATTTTCTTACCTTTATTTTATCTATTGGACACTCTGTTCTTTTTTGCGTGTTACATTCATGGGTATTTCGTTTCTTATCGTCCCTTTCTTCCATGTTTTTCCAACTGCGCCTTGCTCCAGTATTTTGTTTTCTGATTGCTGACAAATAACTTTGATCGTTCTGAAACGTAGAACTGAAACTACTTTTATTGACTTTCAATTTTGCCCTCAATTATCTCGTGCCTAACAGGAATCCATGATTAGTTGAACGCGGAAACGATTGTTCATGGAGAGAAGTTTGTCCTTATTGCATGCAACATGAATGTGCTATGAATGTTGAAAATGTGAACATCTTGCAATTAATTAATTCTTAGCATGCAAATCACAAATACTTACGCCAATAATGAGTTCAACCGTTACTGAGTTTCCGACAAGCTACTCTCACTGATTCCCAAAGTACATGAATTTAAACGTACTACTAGTTTGGCATCTCGGTCCCACCCTTTCACTGTTGAAATGGCTAAATGTATCCATCTCTTCTACTCCAACAGCTTCTTATCTCGCACCTCTCGTCAGGGGAACTCGCTTCCAATCACTTGCTTCCCTGGTAGCTATAACCTTCATATATTCAAATGTAATGTCAATCGAAATCTTCTGATGTCTTGACATTGATTCCTCTTCTTCTCTTTATCCCTTTCCCATCATTCCTCTTTACACTTACTCTCACTCTCTGTAACCCCTTGTGGGCTAGTGGCACTCCTGCCTTGCTTGGGGGTGATTTGCTTAATAAAATATGTAGATTTATTTTCAGTATATAAGAAGAAGAACCACCCGTGTTGTATATTGTCTCACCGGCATTCTGAATTACGCTAAAATGAAAATAACCCTGACATCTCATTTTAACAGATATATTTATCAAAACTGCATAAAAATATCTTGAAATAAAAAAGAGTAAATACGTTTAATATAATCGTCATCGGCTTCAACCACGGCCTCCAGACGGCTTCGAAATTTTGCACAACGCTTCCGGGTGTCTAAGTTAGTGGTTGTTGCCATAATCCTTGCCGTCAGCTCATCTTTGATGTTACAAGAGGTTTTGTTGGTTTCTCACTCAACTGTGTCTCCCAGATAATAATCAATGGAGATGTAGTCTTGGGAGTGAGGCGGTCGGACGTAAGTGGTGATGTGGTCACAGAAATTGTTTAGCGGTCATGACTGGGTTTGCCTGCTTGTTTGACATAATGCAGAGTCCTGTTTCCAAATATAGGGTTTTCTAGCAGCCACCCTCTTGACTAAAAGCAGCACTAATTCCCTCAAGGTACTTGATGTAGGAATCGGTGTTGAGTCTGAGGCCCTCACCAATAAATTCGAGTGTTCTTCTCTTAGCAGAACGATCAAAGTGAGTTTTCCGAACTTCCGTACCTTCGGAATCACCATTAGACTCATCCTACTTTTTCCAAATTATCTTCATTGTTCTCTGATTGACAGCCAAACACTCTGAAATGTTTGTATTGGAGTTTCCGGACTAAATAGCAAAGAGTGGGGGAGTGGATTGCGTCATGGTGCTCTGTTTTCTCACAGAAGATGCACAATTGGCCTTACTATAATGTGTAGTCGACAAAATCAAAAACAATGCGCGAAATTAAAAATAAAAGTGGCTACAATTTACCCATCGCATCCAGTGCACACACACACACACACACACACACACACACACATATATATATATATATATATATATATATATATATTGAGATAGAAACTAATGTTCTTGAAGCTAATGTTCTTGATCTGGGGGCGAATATAACTTATGGCTTGTACGGTTGATATACATATCATTTGTGTACGGGTGCATATATATATATATATATATATATATATATATATATTATATATATATATATATATATATATATATATATATATATATATATATATATATATATATATATAATGATATTATTTGGTAATCCATATGGATAATTCAAAGTGAATATAATCCAGAGAACTCAATGTAAAAACAGAAGAAACATTAATTATTATTAAGAAAAACACGGCTTCAAGATGACATGACATGGGTGTAATTTATTTCCTTAGAACCGAGATTTTTTTTCATAAGAATAATTAATATATATATATATATATATATATATGTGTGTGTGTGTGTGTGTGTGTGTGTGTGTGTGTGTGTGTGTGTGTGTGTGTGCATATTCTAGGCTCTGTCTGGCTTCTTTAGCACGCTTAACTTTCTGTTTTTCTTCTCTCTTCTAATTTCTCTCGTTCTATCGTTAAT